TGATCACCTGAAAAGGGTAACATATATGTAGATTTAAATTGCATAACTGTTCACAAGCGTAAATTAACATTACATTATATCATATGATATCATATATGCAGTAAACACATCATTTATTTTGTGTATAAGCAATAGACAGGGAGTTCAAACGGTGAACACAATCGTTTTTTCCCCGGGAATATTGGCTTTTATTCATGATAAAGTGAAAGAGGTGATGCTATATTCATTTCAGATTCATATGTAGTGTATTACACTTTTCCTTGAGTTTTACTTTTAGCTTGACAGAGTCTGCAGATCCTCGATAAATTAAAACGTCTCATCATAAAAATAACGAATGATTTAAAAAATCTTTTTGTATATATATTTCAATATATTTGGTGTTCAATAGAACTTCACTATTTCAGCATATTTTATGTACAGTAGAGCTTTACTTTATCAGCAATTTTAAGGTACAATACAACTTCACTATTTCAGTATATTTTCACTATTTCAGTACATTTTATGTACAATAGAACTTCACTATTTTGGTATAATACATGTACAGTAGAACTTCACTCTTTTGGTATAATATATGTACAGTAGAACTTCACTATTTTGGTATAAAATATGTACAGTAGAACTTCACTATTTTGGTATAAGATATGTACAGTAGAACTTCAGTATTTTGGTATAAAATATGTACAGTAGAACTTCGCTATTTTGGTATATTACATGTACAGTAGAACTTCACTATTTTGGTATATAACATGTACAGTAGAACCTCGATATCTGGATCATCCTGTTATTGTTCAACTCTAGAATTATCCTATGGATAATGCTAACCATGCACATGGGACTTGTAACTGATCTATAATGAATGTTCTTTCGGAGTAAACTCTAGTGACCTAAGTACTTTTTATCTCCTGTTTATGTTCTATGATAAACATTGTTTGTTACCTTAAAGAAATAGTGTATGCTTGTGAAATCGTAAAAAAGGGAAATTTCATGTAACATTAATTTATGATGGTATTTTATATGTTGATGCAACGTTAATTAAAAGCATTCATGGACGCAAAACAAAACATGTGCTAAACGCGAGCTGGTGAAGCATTGTTTACCTCCTTTCATACACGAGCACATACTACTTTATCTGTGTGTAGATTGTGTGAGGTTACACACATGTTCAGTTTAGTTGATGTAACATAATAAAAAATTCTCAAGTAAATACAAATACGTGAAGTGCATATTGATTGCAGCAACAATGGATAGGGACGTGGCTCGTAATAGGACTGTGCGTTGTTATCTTTTAAGATCATACTAGGCGGCTTGGGTTCGGTCCCCGAAGACGTCGTTCGCATGGATATTCAGAGAACAGTGCTTTTCTATATTTCTAAACATTTTCTTTATGTTGGTAAGTTTGGATTATGAGAAGTTGTTTTTACACCACTTATACAATTTACTGTGTGACGTTTCGATGACTAGTACGATATGTACACTGTCACCTTCATCAGACAAATGACCAATGAAGCGTATGCACAGAGAGATTTGACCACACATATCAACACCATAGATGCCACTAACAACATCAAATGTACATGTAAGGAAGAAACCAACGGCACAATGCCCTTCCTAGACACTCTACTGGTAAAGAAAGATGACGGAACCGTGAAGGTATTGGTCTATAGAAAAAGACCCATACGGACCAATACCATTCTTTACACCAGAAGTTAGGCGTCATAGACACATTGCTCAACAGATGTGATACAATAATCACAGAACAACAGGACAAAACACATGAGCAGAATCATATCACTAGGCCAAAGAGAACATGTGCATATCCGGAATGGGCCCTATAACGGGTAAAAAAAACAGTGTCAAAGTAAGGAGAAGATAAAGAAAATGCCAATAAAGAATAAGAACAAAACCAAAGGTCAAGTGGTCATCCCGTATATAAAGGGTATATCCGAAACCATTCAGAGGATATATCGCGGTCATGGCATTGCAACAGCCATGGAGCCCCACAAGACGCTTCGCAATATCATAGTACACCCTAAGGATAAAACACCTAAAGAAAACGTTGCAGAATGCGTATACTAAATTGGATGCAAAAACTGCGACGCGTCGTGTATTGGAGAGACTGGAAGGCGATTTGGGGTCCGCCTTAGTGAACACCGGAAAGACAGAGAAACCCAAGAAAGTAGGAAATTCACCAGATCTGAAAGAAAATAGTCGGAGTCCTAGATAAATAAACCGGCAATCATAGACCATGCCACACAGAAAAACCATGTGATTGACTGGGATAACTCAAAAGTTTTGGACAGAGAGAGCAATCTGTTCAAGCGGCAGATAAAGGAAGCCATCTGGATACGCCGCAGTGGGCCAGTTCTAAATCGAGACGAGGGGGCTCAAAGACTATCGCACATCTATGACCAAGTGTTAACAAAGCGTAGCTGCATTGAGTCATTTCGGTACATATATAACAACTATTGTACATACGTTTCCATCGTAGGCGAAATCGACATAGATTTTATGGACAACTCGTACACATTTTACACCTTTGTGTGCATACGCTTCATTGGTCATTTGTCTGATGAAGGTGACAGTGTACATATCGTACTAGTCATCGAAACGTCACATAGACAATTTTATTGGTTGTGTAAAAAGAACTTCTCATAAATAAAGTGCTTTTCTACGGCCCAAACAATACCAACAAACCAGGTGGAATATAAATTTGTCTTGGTGGATAGTGAGGTGGCACTATAAATGATGCCGTTGGAAGCAAGGTCCCACTTCAAACAGAATACATTACATCTCAGCATACACGCAGGCATACACACATAGGGATATATTAGCCAGGTGGCATATGACCAGTAGTTAGCGCCTGATAAGGCAGCTCCCGCAATTCATCAACAATTGTATTGATTAATGTACAGTGTATATGCTAATTGTATTAATGGTACATATATGTACTGTTAAGCGCTTTAGAGTGGCTTATGTTCGCTAGATAGGGCGCTATATCAAATGCTGTATATCATATTATTATTATCATTTAAAAGGGACACGCTTACTCTATGACAGCATCAGTGTTTCACTTTTAGTACACACCTGTCCCCACCAATGTTCCTGCTGCTTGAACCTGTCTGACCCTGTTATGATGATGGGCCATAACAGGGTCAGACTGTTGTGTTGATAGCCCGTTGAGGACAACCATTTAGTTATGTTAATAAACATTGATATGAATATGTTGGTCGTATGATTGATGTGAATATAATTTGTTTAAGTGTGAAATGACATTAACATCACATACCGGTGAAATAAAGTGTACATATCAATGTCAGTTTAATCAATTTAATTTAATATATTATTGAATTCAACATAACAGTAATTAATTAAAAACTATCTCACCTCTCTGTTGAAGTAGTGCCCTAGGGATGTATCAATAGGATCGCATCACTATGTTATCAGTATCAAAAACATGATAAAACATGTGTGTCTTATCGCGTAGGATGTAATATATATATATAAGTAGAACAGACGGAGGTAATGCTGTTTTAAAGTAATAGTTAAGGAACATAATGAATATCATAACTAGTATATAAGCATAAAACTATTAACAGGAAATTTGTTTGAAATAAAGATAATGTCGACTATGATATGCTTAGGACATCACATTTTTGTAAAGGATGACAAATTACATATTATATAATGTGTTTATCGAGCGAGTTATAGCGAGTGTCATACAAATCTGATGGAAAAGGAACGAGTGTGATATTCTAACCTTTGTAAAATATAAAGAATAAAGATCAAATAAGAAAAATGATACCATGGTTGCATTTAATCATCTCACTGTTACTTGTGTGTACATACACATGACATTTATTTGATGACATCAATTACTGAATATTTATTAGGTCATATAACCAAATTACATGGCATTGTATTTTCATGGACAGTGTTTGTCAATGTCTGACTAATTGGTTGGGGGCTACTTTTGTAGTACTTTACATTATGTTAAGTGTTTTCCGTGTTCCCCATGCCTTTAGGAACGGTTGGGGATCGAGTTCCTTTAGTACTGCACACTACTTTCATTCGTTCTAGCAGATAAGCTTCTTGTTCAACTATGTTCAAATGACTTGAGTTTAATGAGAGTAAATTTCTACCATGATTTGTATTTACCTACTATCCTTTGACATATGTGGGTCAATAAACGCCTACCGTACCAACTGATTTCGACTCTAAACTTTTCGAATCGAAAATCGTTCTCGTAAAGTTACACTCCCTTGTAGAGTTGAACCTAATGATTCCATCAACATTGTGCCAAGCTAAATGAACTAGATTGCGCAACAGCAGAATTTCAGTAAACTATTAATTCTATCTTCAAAATGACTGAGTGACTGCATAATATAAGAGCAATAAAAGACATTCCATTTGTTTTCAATTTTAATTGGAATTTATTAGAAAAGAAGATTTTTTTTTCTGGTGNTAAAAAAAAAAAAAAAATCAGAAAAAAATAATCAAACCTGTAAACATGCCGGGGAAGACAATTTCCAATACTTACACCATTTTGGCAGGGGGTCGAGGATCCTTTAAGCAGAGACGGGGTTTTTTACCAGCATACGTCAATGTCCATCATAATATCACAATAAAACGGATGGTGCGTGTGTGACTGATTACCCGGTCCGTTATCTCCCAACAGTCAGAGTTACCGAAAATCTCAAGATTAAATCGTGAAGAGGAAGTGTGTGAAACATTAGTACACACTTATATCAAACAACTGAAGTTACCGTCAAATTTATTATTTAACAACTTAACACTTGAATCTCAATATGAAGAGTGAAAAATAAATATTTAATTTCAATTTTGATATTGATTTTGAAATCATTTTACACTCGAAAATGAAAATTTGACATCCAGCCATTACTTAATGAAATATAAATATTTTGTGCACTATATAAGGTATTTATAACTTAATTCCAGGAAAAAATTATGTATTAGTAAAAATCAATAAGCGATATCAATGTAATTATTTGAAAGCCACATGGCGGGATAAAATGACAATAGAAACGAATCAAAAGATTTGTCTCACCTTTGACCATTTTTAACTAAGGATTAAAATCAAAGTGATGCACCATAAATATTGCTTATTTACAGTGTATTCAATTACATTACGATATTGATTAATTTCTGATTGGTACATTTCCCAAGTAACTCAGGAATTGTATTATTTTAGTAATATAGATCTAAATCAAAGCTTAAAATCCCAACATTAACTTGCCGTAAGTTATTCTGTCATGAAAGTCAAAATCACGACAGGAACCTTTGGCATTGTCGTTTCGGTAAAAGTTCATTAATGCTTTTTATGTTTAACTCGGTGCTTGGGTTTATGTTTCATCGTCTTGTTCCTCATCATCGAATTCCCCTTCTTCGTCAGCAGTGGCATCCTGGTACTGTTGGTACTCGGACACCAAGTCGTTCATGTTAGACTCGGCCTCTGTGAACTCCATCTCGTCCATACCCTCACCAGTGTACCAATGTAAGAAAGCCTTACGACGGAACATAGCGGTGAACTGCTCAGATACGCGTTTGAAAAGCTCCTGAATGGCGGTGCTGTTACCAATGAAAGTACCGGACATCTTGAGACCGCGTGGTGGAATGTCACAAACGGCGATCTTTGTATTGTTTGGGATCCACTCCACAAAGTAGCTGCTGTTCTTGTTCTGAACGTTTAGGAGCTGCTCATCAACTTCTTTCATAGACATACGACCACGGAACACAACTGCAACCGTCAGATAACGCCCGTGACGAGGATCACACGCAGCCATCATGTTCTTGGCGTCGAACATCTGTTGGGTCAGCTCTGGGACGGTAAGAGCCCTGTACTGCTGGCTACCACGAGATGTGAGTGGAGCGAACCCAGGCATGAAGAAATGGAGACGGGGGAACGGGACCATGTTGACAGCCAATTTACGGAGATCGGCGTTCAATTGACCAGGGAATCGGAGACAGGTGGTGACTCCGGACATGGTGGCGGAGACGAGATGGTTTAAGTCACCGTATGTGGGTGTGGTAAGCTTGAGGGTACGGAAGCAGATGTCATAGAGAGCCTCGTTATCGATACAGTAGGTCTCGTCGGTGTTCTCAACAAGCTGGTGGACGGAGAGGGTGGCGTTGTATGGCTCGACCACAGTGTCTGATACCTGTAAAAAACTCATGTTATTTAATACATATTATTTATAAATACAGCCCGTATACGGAATAAGAACCTCTCTATATCACCCGCAACGCCAAATGAACGCAATAAAATCACCAATATTTATGGACTGAGGTTGAACGATTTAGATAGAAAAATGAAATTAAAAGAAATGATTTTTTTTTGAAGCTAGACCAAGTTCAAAGTGCCGATATGTAAAAAATACGAGAATGAAAACAAAATTTTGATTTTTAAAGTTGAAAGTTGCGGTAACCGTAACCACCGCAGATGAAGCATGGGCAAATATTGGGTCTGACATTAGAACAGTCATATCATAAGCTCTAAATACTAAATTGATATGAACTATGATATCAAATTCAACAAAGATGATTGATATGTACCTTTGGTGATGGTACAACTGAAAATGTGTTCATGATCCTGTCGGGGTATTCTTCACGGATTTTGGAGATGAGGAGCGTTCCCATTCCGGAGCCCGTACCACCACCAAGAGAATGTGTAAGTTGGAATCCCTGAAGACAATCACAACTTTCTGATTCTTTACGAACAACATCAAGAACAGAGTCTACAAGCTCAGCACCTTCTGTGTAATGTCCCTTAGCCCAGTTGTTTCCAGCACCACTCTGTCCGAACACAAAGTTGTCGGGTCTGAAGATTTGTCCGAAAGGACCAGATCTGACAGAATCCATGGTTCCGGGCTCCAAGTCAACCAAGACAGCCCTGGGAACATACTTGCCGCCTGTAAATACAAAAATCTAATCATAGATGCTTTTTCTTTCAAACGACAGAATCTGATAATAATAATAATAAAAATAAAGTTTATTGAGGATTAAAAACCTGATTTAGCCTGATAATCTGATAATGTTACGAATACTTTTTTATCGAGATAAACGTAGTATATGATTTACTGTGTTTATGGAGGCTTACTCACTTCTTAGAAAATTTGAAGAACTTCTGTAGAATCTTTGTTTAATTGGTTTCTATTAAAACAATACATTTTTCTTGTGGTGGGCCACCATTCTACACGCTTAACCGTAACCTGATTTCCAGTATTTTCCAAGATTAAATACTTTTGCATTTCAAATTTATATTGTTGTGACCTGCATTCGGGTCATGGATTTGACGAAAGGCATCGTGAGGGGTACCTTACATTTGCACTTTTGTGATTATGGCAATGTAAGTTCCACCCTCAAACCCTCATAAGTAATAACAACTGAGAGCTTTGGACTATCCAGGCAACAAATCAAGACAATGTTTCACTAATAGGGACAGAGGATTCGTAAGTATCAAGCAAATAAAATAAGGCAACTTTCAGGGATATCGAGAAAGGTCTCGAGAAATAGCGAACAAAACAACGTTTTGTTGAATACGACGGGGTTAAATGAGCATCAAGCCAAAAAAAGTCAATGGTAGCCAACACAACATGACAGTGTTTCAATGATGTGGACAGGGGGTTCTCGAGTATACAGCCAACACAACATGACAGTATTTCAATGATGTGGACAGGGGGTTCTCGAGTAACCAGCCGACACAACATGACAGTGTTTCAATGATGTGGACAGGGGGTTCTTGAGTATCCAGCCAACACAAAATGACAGTGTTTCAATGATGTTGACAGGGGGTTCTCGAGTACACAGCCGACACAACATCACAGTGTTTAAATGATGTGGTCAGGGGGTTCTCGAGTATCCATCCAACACAACATGACAGTGTCTCAATGATGTGGACAGGGGAATCCCGAGTATCCAGGCAACACAACATGACAGTGTTTCAATGATGTGGACAGGGGGTTCTCGAGTATCCAGCCAACACAACATGACAGTGTTTCAATGATGTGGACAGGGGGTTCTCAAGTAACCAGCCAACACAACATGACAGTGTTTCAATGATGTGGACAGGGGGTTCTCGAGTATCCAGCCAACACAACATGACAGTGTTTCAATAATGTGGACAGGGGGTTCTCGAGTATCCAGCCAATACAACATGACAGTGTTTCAATGATGTGGACAGGGGGTTCTCGAGTATCCAGCCAACACAAAATCAAAGTGTTTCAATGATGTGGACAGGAGGTTCTCGAGTATCCAGCCAACACAGCATGACAGTGTTTCAATGATGTGGACAGGGGGTTCTCGAGTATCCAGCCAACACAACATGACAGTGTTTCAATGATGTGGACAAGGGGTTCTCGAGTATCCAGCCAACAAAATAAAACGTTTTATTTAATATACACCAAAAAAAGAGATATATTTCCTTTCTTTGGGATTTCTTTTGTTTCTTCGACCTACAAAGACTCTTTGTTGTTTATACAATGCATATACAGGTACATGCCAACACCTTTGATCACATTCCTGCTTATTGTGTAAACAATGAAGTATCAACGACAAGACAGGAGTCACGGTTTAGTTTTACAAACAAAACACTTAAAATGTTAACCTATTTCTTTTGTTGAAAACATTAGCTGACAAAGCTAGTTTATACAGAAATCTACAGACGACAGAATATCATGCGACAACTATTTCTAACTACAGCGTTACTCTCCAACCGATAGTGGAATGTTCGTATTGTTATTCATTAATGCATTGTCTGGCGAAATGTTTTCTTAATTGGAACGGTGCCTAATTCAACATACCTGTGGCTTCATTGTAGTACACATTGATCCTCTCCAACTGAAGGTCGGAATCTCCGTGGTATGTACCAGTGGGGTCAATTCCGTGTTCATCAGAAATTACTTCCCAGAACTGAAAATAGTTATTGGGGTTATATAGGGTTTGAATCAATCAGTATAATTACATTTTTACTATAGAACAAATGATTGAGTTTATTTATTTGTTCTTAAATAATTTATTTATTTACTGCGTTTTGTTTATGCGCCGTCCTTTAAACGACATTCGCGGAACAGCCCTATTTTTAATCAAATTGGCGCCAATAATTAACTGTAGTCGTTTGAGTGTTTGACGTAGGGGCATTCTCCATGTTAACTGAAGCGGAGCGACAAGACTCTCATTGAACAAGGTTAATCCATGACGTCATAACTAAACCACGTGATACTTCACGAGAGTTTTTGAATTCATTTAAACAATAACTGGTTGTCTGGATGTAATTATATCAACAATAATTACATCCAGACAACCAGGTATTTTTTATATTTACTTATTTTTCTTTTTTAAGACATATTCCTACAAAAACCATTTGCCCTGCCTCAAAATACATTTCAGGCGGCCATTTTGTTTGTTTACATATTCCTACACCTGAAACAGGCAGTTGTAATTATAGTCGAGCAGTTGTAATTATAGCCTATATAATTACACTTGCCCTCTAACACTGTTGTAATGGGACGGCGCGGGCGCAAATGTAAATATACTCAAATGAAATGCATTTTTGCTGGCAATGTTCACATTATACAATGGTTAGGCCGAGGTGAATATTGTTCAGACCAGGTCCGTAAATCAGGGATAGACCGAAACTGAAGTCCACATTGTTTTATTATATGACATTCAATGAGATTATGGATGGAATGGACTATTTTGGAATCAAAGAGTGAAGGACTTCAAATACAAAATAACATACACAAAAATTGAATTTCAGATTCAATTCATGTGATATTTAATTTCAAGTAAATATTGTTTGCACAATCGACATCATCAATATTCACATAGTTCAGAATTTGATGAGATAACTAATTTGTAGTTGAATTCAGCAGTGTGATTCAGTGGTAACAGAATTACAGACTGGCTGGGAAATTACCTAGGCCTATTTTTAGTAGCGGTCTGCAACACTTTTCTATTTATAGGTCGAGGTCTGTTACACTTTTCTATTCATAGAACGAGTTCTGTAACATATTTACAGACTCGTCACATGACGTCGCTCCTCCAATTAGGGCTGGGAATTAGCACCAGTCATATAATAAAGTGGGTTGCAGCGCCAATGTAAATATAAGAGTTTGAATGCACATATGATTGAAGTGTTCCTGAGCAAGATTAACCAATTAATTAATTAAGGAAGATCATGAATTGATAATACCTTTTATTGTTTTATAATTTCCAATCAGTTATTTGTTGATCGTTCAGGCTACATATATGCACTGGAATTATGTAACTGTGATTAATAGCTCCTTTGAATGTCGAGATAATCATCCATAGTCTTTGTCTCGTAGATGTTTTAAAGATTGTAAATTGAAAGGTAACTTTTCAAATTTCCATTTTTTATCCTAAGCTTATCGTAATAAATATTATGATCAATGCTTGATGTGAAGGCAAATTATAAAACGTAAACAATTTGATAGAATTCTTTTATTATGATTTAAACGTTACAATTGTATGGTGCAGTGCAATTTGATTTTGGCATGCTTAACCTATTACCAAATTGTGTAGGCACAATCACATATCTGTCTTACTTATGTACGGACATAATTCAGGAACAAAGGCAAAATATTCTGCTGGAAGATTTCTAAGTACCTGAGGTTTTCTGCAACTATCTCTCTTCAGAAGAGGCACAGTTCAAAATACAAATGTATACACACTTTCATCATTGAAATAACAAGCACTCCCTGGGTTTTGAAATTCAGATAATTACGAATTATTTTATCTTTCTTTTTCAATAATATTAAAAACAAAATCTGGGTTTCCACCTGAATGGTCTCCAGCATCACCTAGATAATGTCGACACTGAAGTAATGTGCATTATACATGTTCTGAGGTTGAAAAAAATCTTTAATTTGATCCTGAAAGTTAATATACGAAAACTGTGTCAAAAATTATGCAACACCAAAATTGAATCAGTAAAACTTGGAAGTCACAAGCTCCAAGATTGTATTCTGTAGACATACCATATAACATGCGCACCAAAATCTTCCTATGCCTTTGATTGGCGGATCATTAATTATTCAACATAACGGTCTAATTACAAAATCGGTCAAAGCGAATTACAGTCATACGGTAGGTAAAAGATACTAGTAAACCAATCAAAGTCAAGACAGGTCCTGATTAAGAAATCTACACTGCGTAATAACAATAGTACCAGAAACACAGAAATTACCTATCCCCCTTTTGAATGTTGAGAAAATCATTCTGGTATCTTTGATGGTTTGAGAAAACCATACCGTTACCTATGGGAAACATAGTTATTTTCATTGAAAATTTAGCAAACCTGTAGAGTACTTTTATATATTTTGTTAAATACAGTAAATGTGATGTGGTTTATTTTGGTGTTTTGTTCATTTTTCTAAAAAATCTAATTGTTTGGATTGTATATTATGCGAAAACCGTCTTGCAGAAAAGCACGTGATACTATAAGATTCTACATTAAAACTGTGAATTAAAATAGCCCAATTGATATAAACATGGATATCAGACGTTTAAAAACAAACTGCAGACCCCTTGGTTTTCTTTCACTCCTAATTACCAATCACTGATATTATATAAGTGTATAAACACGTGTCATGTATACTCTGATATTGTATTATCTACTGTAAGGATATCGACAGAAGATAGATAAATGCATTATAATGTCTAACAATGGCTAACAAAAAAAGCGATGGTTAAGATCAGGGCCTGTATTCATGAAACCGTTCTCATGCTCAAGCATTAGTTCTGTGCTCAAACCAACTTTCTTGTAACTCACTTAAAATATGTCAAACGATCAAAACTCAAATAAAAACATTGAAAACATTACTCAGAATTAAGTCTCTTTATTGTTTTCTCCAAATTATTGACAAAATATTATATATTTTGTTATTAATTTATCATTGAAATAAGAAATTAGGCTTCAGCACAGAATCCATGCATGAGCATGAGAACGGTTTCACGAATACGGGTCCTGATCCATCCTCGATATCCAGGGGTTACGCTCACTTTCGCTCTCTACACCCCTGGAAAGAAGACTAGTCGGATCCTTTGATGTTCATCAAAAGAATCTCGCGGTCACGTAAGGGTAAAAATTGACAGGCTTTGAAGCCGAGCGTCTCTCCTTTGTAATCTTCGAAGGACAGGCATCAGCCTAGGGATTGGTAAGGTGTTTTTTTCCTGAGACCAATCAAACAGCTATTTTGCCATGACATATCCCAGGGGTGTAGCGAGCGTAAGTGAGCGTAACCCCTGGATATCGAGGATGACCCTGATCTTACGTACCATAATCTACACTGTAATTTTTCTCAATACGATAATTGAGCGTTTGATTGCCAGATAAGTAACGCACAGCATCAGCAACCTTCGAAAGATACCAGGAACGATCAGATAGTGTTTGTAGAATTATCTACTATTAATTATAGCAAGTCAAAAATTCAGCCCATGCAACAATAACATTCGTTCAAAACATTGAACATTTTGACATCATGTATTTTAACCAGTATCGGCGACACATAGCATGTAACAAAAGCAGTAACGATTTCCAACCTCGGTAAGACCTATCTTGAAGCTAGAATAAACACAGTCACGTGTTAGGCATTAAAAAAATAATTAACACGCGGATAATTGCATAACAATTAATACAATATTTTAAAAAAGTAATATGTTATCACACGAAACATATGTACTTTAATCAGATTGGCATTGAATATATCGGCTAATAGCTGACAATGAAATCTTAGAATATAAATAGGATGTACGACTTAGCTTACCTTGGCGCCAATCTGGTTACCACACTGACCCGCCTGAAGATGGACTATTTCTCTCATGACGAAATATGGGCGACTGATTACACGTGTATGTCCTACCGCTATCTGGTCGGTTGCGATACTAGTCACCAAGTGAAATCGTCTATTTATACATCCGACAACGATTCGGGTTCTTCCGCAGTGACGGAGACTTTTTGATTGGCTGATTCAACTGATGGACTATTTTTCTTGCTTTAAAAATTATATATAAAAAAATACAAGGATTCAAATACCAAGAAATAAATAAATACAGTGGCAGAAAAATTACTATTTGATTGTAAACTTTAAAAACAACGTTAAAAAATGGTAGATGTTTAACCAGAAATGTGTAAGTGACCGGTAATATTTCCAGAGAATGCATCCTGGCGGAAAGTCACTGTTGATTTCTCAGAGGGCTGTAAAGTGTCCGTAATTGCTGCAATTCAAATTCAAGACGCAATTATGAAATTCAGTCGACCGAATGTCATCAATTATTTACATACAGAGACCAGCCTAGATGACCAAGGGTATACTTTTCATTACCGGTAGGACACGACGGGATGGAAATCCCGCGCTTTCTGATAAATGAAGTACATAAAACCTGGAAATTGGTAGAGTTATTGTGCACCTGACACTGGCTATTACATTTAATACTGGAGAACCACCTGGATGGCTGATCCAACAATGATAATATACAATTTCATTTAAGCTGAACACGATCTGTATCATCTAATGTTTGGTAAAAACAAATGACATAACAAATACTTTTTTTGGATTCAATCACGTTTGTTTGTGTACACTGTAGTTGACGAAGGTAATAATCACAGCGTCCTATTTGGGAACATCTGAGCGTGCGTTCAATTATTTAAAAGGTCATTTCCCGCGTGGTACAGAGAATACAGACCCTTCCAGACGACTGTTTTCGTCTCCTTTTAAACAGTTTTCCCCTTTGTTTTGATAGCTCTGCAGTTCATCATGTTGTCATTCAGTCTTGATTTTCGTACCTGTGTATGTGTTGGCGCTCTAGAATATACATCCCTGTGTGTTATCTATGTGTTCTACTTTGTCTTAGTTGGACTGACACGGTTATATGCGTGTTAATCGAACCTTTGACTTATAAATATAGGATCTTACATGAGTTTCCATTTCATATGATATTTTTGAAACGAGTCGACGAGTTTCATAAATATCATATGAAATGGAAACGAGAGTAAGATCCTTTTTATCACATAAACAAGATTTAAGGCATTAATCGTGTAAAACGACAATTTTCATGCAACTTCGAAATGTAAAAAGCCGCCATTTTGACTCCAGTGCATAAGTCTTTGACGTCATGTACTTGTCCTAGGCGTGACGTCACAATTGAGACAATTGAAACTTACGATCAATCACAGGGCTAATTGGTCATATTACATGGGTTCATATGCAAAAAAAATACGACATGGATATATTCACTGGATAACACAGTACATATGTGATAACTCAATCTAGATACACTTTTTGTTTTTAATTTTGATGGGAAAAACTGTCATAGCTATCATACAAGTGATTTTCTGGTAAAACTAGAAAATGCCTGTAAGACCTAAATGCCTCGCTGGCATGTGAAATTAGTTTCAGTGATCTATAAAAAGTTACAACTACTTTGATCTTGATACCCTGAAACATGCATACACACAAGGTACTACACTTAAAGTTGATAAGTTGATTTTAGTATTCATGTTTTTTCTGTATGTTATTACCATCTCCATAACATATTGAGGCAGTATCATGTATGAAAGAGACAATGATGATTCTATGCCCGAAGAATACTCATAATTGACCTTTGCATAAAGTTTGACCAAAATCCATAAAAGAATGAAGTTGCCAAGTGTTTAAATTGGATCAGTTGATGATTTTCTATATATAACTACAGTGACCTTGAACCCTGAAACACAAGGATGTCAGAGGTATACCCATATTTGACCTTGACCAAAATCCGTGAAAGAATGAAGTTGCCAAGTGTTTAAATTGAATCAGTTGATGATTTTCTATATATAGCAACAGTGACCTTGGCCTTGACCTTGGAACCCTGAAACACAACAATGTCCGAAGTATATTCATACTTGACCTTTGCATACAGTTTGACCAAAATCCGTGAAAGAATGAAGTTGTTAAGTATTTAAATTTAATCAGTTGATGATTTTCTATATTAGCAAGTGTGACCTTGGCCTTGACTTCCTGACACACAACGATGTCCGAAGTATTCTCATACTTGACCTTTGCATAAAGTTTGACGAAAATCTGTCAAAGAATGAAGTTGCTAAAGGTTTACATTGAATCGGGTCGGACATGGGAAACACTATATGCCCCCCCCCCCCATTTATGGAGGGTTGTACATTTGAATAAAGTTTGACCAAATTCTGTCAAAGAATGAAGGAAGTTGCTAAGTGTTTACATTGGATCGGGACGGGATGCGACGGGTGTTTACATTGAATCGGGACGGGACGGCCATGGGCAACACTATATGCCCCCACCCCCTTTAATGGCGGGGGCATATTTCTAGCAGAGCGATAATTTCAGAATATCTTTACCTACAGACCGACTTGTGATCCAAAATTCTAACTCGAGGGCGATTTGCTTAAATCACCTCCAATACTTCCGATATGCAGAAAAAAACTAAAGGGACTTCTATACGAGTCTGTAAACACCTGCTAACAGTCGGATTGCATTCAAAATGGCGTCACATTTCTCCTGGTTCGGGATACTATCTGATGTTGTAACGGGAAGATAATTACAAGATAAGAAAGCTTCTATCAAAAAAGTTCACAATTCGCATGATGCGGGAAACAAAACAAGGATCTTTCTGGAGGGGTTTTATGGTTTCCTCCTCGTCTCAGTGAAGGGAACACGGAAGACACGAAGAATAGACCTGTGCGATTGAAAGGCACACAAAGGGTAGTCTTGATTGTGAATGATTTCCCCCCAGAAAGACTTTTGTTAATACTGCATTATTGTAAGGAACGTAACCTTGTTCTGTTTACTTATATTAGATTGTGTAATAGGGTAGCAACATTTTTTGAACTCTTATTGGTCCATTTCATATAAAGACATCAAATAGCCTTACAAAGTGCTCTTACAACCGCGGTCATATCTTACGGTCACGCACGTAGTTGACCGTAGTAGACCTTAGTTAACTATTAAACGTAGTTCAACGTAGATAAGTCCGTGGTTAGCCCAACAATTTTCAAAATATCTCTACGATGAGTTTGAATGCCAAGACCCTACAGTGGCCGTAGTTTGAAAGCAGTTGACCATAATTGACCCTGCTAGCTACGTATACTTGACCGTAGCAACATGGTACTACGGTTAACATTACGGTCAATTACGGACAACTACTAGGGTTGGACTACGTTTGAAGTACTTCACAGTACTGTTAACTAGGTAAAGTAGAATTAAGGGTTGAACTTTTGTCTGACATTTTATCTTCAAATTGTTGAAGTTGGTCAGTACCATTTAGAAGTAGAACTACTGATATTACTTCTCAGTGCAGCGGCCGGTATGGACAGCTTTCAAGCATGTGTAATAATCTTCATTTTGCCCTCTTGTAATCAGAAATACCATTACAGTTCACGAAAATGTGGATAAGTACACATCAGAAGAAACATTCAAGTCATGACTTATGGTTTGAAACATGTACATGTAATGTAAATTTTACATTTCCATATACGTGTATGCGTAATCTTAAGTTGACAATGCGCGCAAACAAACAAGTCTCAGAAAAAGATACAAACTGCTTCTGAAATCAAGGACAACACCGACCTCAAACGTTCCATCAACCAATCGACGAACCAGATGCAGCGGAATTGGCCCAGAAGTTGCGATTGATGCAGCGAGTGACGTTTGTGGGCGTGTTCTTTTTGAACACGGCTTGTTGACGGCGTGACGATTTTGATTGTATTGTTGTCCCAAAATTGGAGTTAAGGATGCCTTATTTTTTAAAATCCGATATGAAGAAGGAACAAGAGACTCGGGCCTGTATCGCTCACATGGATAATAAAGTAATCATGGGAAAAATATCTTTATACATAAATTACCTACAATGGTTCAGAAGTAGGATTTTGAAGATTTCAACCTCAGTTCCCCTAATGGGCCCCGCAACTCTACACCCAAAGGGCCAAACCCTCCATTTAAACAAAGGGGGCCACAGCCACCGTATATATAAAATTGAATGTCATTGCTCCAGGCCAAATTTAGTCANCTGTAGGAGACTTAAAATAACTACTGCCATAAAAATATGGTGAAGTTTTAGGAAGCTCTCGACAATTATCATGCAATATATCTTATTTTAAGTAGTTTTCTAAATTTTAAAACGGAATATTCTTATTTTATAATCAGATTATTTCACAAGTCCAAAGGACCAGTTAGGTTAGGCGATTCACTAGTCCTTGCTGAAATCTACTAGTCCAGGACTAGCAGACTAGTGTGATGTGTCGACCCATGCCCTTTGCCAAAGGATACTCCAGGTCAAATGTGGATAAAATCCCTCCAATAGTCTAGGAGAAGGATTTTAATGATTTTAACCTCAAATTCCCACTTTGTGTCCTGCCGCTCTGCATCCAGAGGGGCAACACCCAATGTTTGTACAGAACAAAGTCGCTATTGCCCAATGCTGCTCTAGACCAAATCCCTTTATCCCTATGATAGGAGAAGAATGTCAAAGATTTTACCTCTATTCCCCCTATTGGGCCCCACCCCTCTGCCCACAAAGAGGGCTACAGCCACCGTATATATAAAATTGAATGTCCTTGCTCCAGACCAAATTTAGTCAAAATCTACTGGGTCGTTCAGGACAAGTAATGTTTTAAAGGAAAAGTTGACGGACAACGCGCCATGGCATAAGCTCACCTGTCCTTTGGACCAGGAGAGCTAAAATGTTACACGGATGTTTTCCCCCCAAAAACGATGGTAAAATTGCAACACAAACGGTTCCCTTTGGAACACGAAACTTTTCCAGACCGAGTCTACATTTGAAATGTAGCATTTTTTTTTTATCTAAACAAACTGTCCAAAATGTGTGAAAAAAAAGCATTTTACAAGGTGTATAGAGTAGTGTGTAAATGATTCCTTTTAAGGTTTGTTAACTTTAACCAGTGGTTAGTGGAAAAATTATATTTGTTGTCAGCGCGGGGCAAAAGCTTTCAAATCTAAATGAATCATGAAAATTCATCTATAAAAAAAATTAATTGAAATTATATCGGATGTTCCTGGTTTTGTTTGTTTTTGATTTCCCCCGAACACTGGTTAACCCTAACTTACCTTTGGGCCACCAGTGCATAGCCATTTGCAGACTGTATTGGAGTTATAAAGTAATACATAATATCAAAGGCACCACCTTTTTATTGTATTTCACCATGGTAATGAGTACCTGCAGGACAGGTACAAAGTGTTCAACAAAGACGTAGTACCTGCATGTCCAATTTATCCAAACATTTCAAATTTGGAATCGAAATTATTACTCATGTCATGAAATTAGATATAAAAAATGATGATGGAATTATTCATTTTTTCTTTATCTCTGAATATTAGAATGTTTTGGTCAGTTTGTACAAAGATGATCAATTGTTTCATGATGGTCAATTGGACTTATTACATGTCCTGTTCCCCCTCTTCCTCGTCAAACTCTCCCTCCTCCTCTGCTGTGGCATCCTGGTACTGTTGGTACTCAGACACCAAGTCGTTCATGTTGGACTCGGCCTCTGTGAACTCCATCTCGTCCATACCCTCACCAGTGTACCAATGCAAGAAAGCCTTACGACGGAACATAGCAGTGAACTGCTCAGAGATACGCTTAAAGAGTTCCTGGATGGCGGTGCTGTTACCGATGAAGGTAGCAGACATTTTGAGACCACGTGGTGGGATATCACAGACGGCAGTCTTGACGTTGTTGGGGATCCATTCAACAAAGTAGCTACTGTTCTTGTTTTGTACATTCAGCATCTGTTCGTCGACTTCTTTCATGGACATGCGTCCCCGGAAGATTGCAGCAACGGTAAGATAACGTCCGTGACGAGGATCACAAGCAGCCATCATGTTCTTAGAGTCGAACATCTGCTGGGTCAGCTCTGGGACGGTAAGAGCCCTGTACTGCTGGCTACCACGAGATGTGAGAGGAGCGAAACCAGGCATGAAGAAATGGAGTCGAGGGAAGGGCACCATGTTGACAGCCAATTTACGGAGATCGGCATTCAACTGTCCGGGGAATCGGAGACAGGTGGTGACTCCGGACATGGTGGCGGAGACGAGATGGTTTAAGTCACCATATGTGGGTGTGGTCAGCTTGAGGGTACGGAAACAGATATCGTACAGAGCCTCATTGTCAATACAAAAGGTTTCATCGGTGTTCTCAACAAGCTGGTGGACGGAGAGAGTGGCGTTGTATGGCTCGACCACAGTATCCGATACCTGTAATAAAGATACAATCAGTTGTGTTAAGTGTCAATAAAACAAAGACTATACTTTTATAATACAAGGACAACTGCAAATATATAAAACAAATATTTATATGGTTGTCTACTTAAATACCTAGCCCAAGAAACCGTGCGGCAAAAGATCAACAATGACTTCTCTATGACGAAATGAGTGTAAACTGTTACAGATCAGGTTATTCTATATACATGTAATACTATTATTGATTCTTAATGCCAGAAGTGTGATATTTTGCCAATTTTGTTTAAAAAAAGTTGAAAACTGTGGAGTATGCTTCAAAAATAGGGTGATATAGCAAACCAAGTAAGCCAATTTGTATTTCATTAATGGTAGAAAATGCAAACCTCAGCCTTACAATCATCCTACCATAAGCACCTAACCTATAATTTCTGACAGCTCTAGTAGAAAATGAAACACTGAATCAAAGGATCTTCCTGGAATAAGTAGCTAACCTCCAAGTCCTTATTTGCCTTATCAGACAGCAAGTATATTGTATTTTGTTCTTACTTTTGGTGAAGGTACAACGGAGAATGTGACCATGATCCTGTCGGGGTATTCTTCGCGGACTTTTGAGATAAGGAGTGTTCCCATTCCAGAGCCGGTACCACCACCAAGAGAATGTGTAAGTTGGAATCCCTGTAGACAGTCACAACTTTCTGCCTCTTTTCGGACAACATCAAGAACGGAGTCTACAAGTTCAGCACCTTCTGTGTAATGTCCCTTAGCCCAGTTGTTTCCGGCTCCACTTTGTCCGAACACAAAGTTGTCGGGTCTGAAGATTTGTCCAAAAGGACCAGATCTGACAGAGTCCATGGGTCCGGGCTCCAAGTCAACCAAGACAGCTCGAGGAACATATTTGCCTCCTGAAATAAAAACATAGAGTGTGATTTATTTTGTAAATATCTTTATATTTATCATTATATTTCTATGTGCAAGCATAGTCTCCTTGTATTTTCAGTTAGATATATATGCCAACAAAAGATCAATGATACTTTAAACAATGAGTTTTTATGCCGATTACTGGCAATATTCGCCAATAAGGAAAATATATGTAAAAAAACCCACCCAGAGCCGGAATACGAAGTGCCAGCAAAACCATAATTCATATCTAATATAACAATTAAAGATTTTTCTGTTGGTGAATACGTGTTATATGAACCTGAAAAGTTATATTAATCAAGACTTCGTCCCGGTTAATATATCCTTTTCAGATTCACATAATCACATATCCACCTCAACGAAAGTCCATTATTGATAAAAAAACGGACAATAACGTTCGGTTTTGTCAAAAATCTTCATTATAATGAATTTTAAAACCACACCCTTTTTTTGGAATTGCCATTCATAAGATTAAGCTGTATCGAAGCAGCTTGGGAAGTAGGACGTTGATATAACGGATATATAAAGCAGCTTTTGGGGGAGTGGTAGGAAAACTGGGCGGTTATAAAAATCAATAGGCATCGCTGATTGGGTTCCAGCCAAAAAATATAGCGCTACACTGGTATTGATCTAACTCACATGGTCTATGTGGCATGTTTTCAAATCTGCACGACTACGACTCCTTTGGTATTTCTTTGCCAATAATCTAGACAGGAATAAAATGTATCAGGAGGCCCCCCAACACATACTGTAATATATATATATCAGTTAACCAGCCTCCCTTAAGTCAATGATGCGATTGAGTGATGACGTCATACAGAATCATACCCTCCCTTAGGTCAATGATGCGATTGAGTGATGACGTCATACAGAATCATACCCTCCCTTAGGTCGATGATGCGATTGAGTGATGACGTCATACAGAATAATTTATGAACAGGAAGGTGTAACTATACAAACATATACCGACATCCTTATAAGGCATTAAAGGTTGAACTGTTTGTCAAGTAATATATATATTGTTCAAAATTTTGAAATTTCTTTATATTTTTGTTGTTTTGTTATTTGCCTTCAAGTTACTATGTAACTAAAAATGAGCAATAAAACAATGAATTAAATTAATTATATGCATGTTGCAGTTCTAATCATAGGGGTCAGTAAATTTAAGAACTATATTATCATCAAAAAGTCCAGAGATTCGTTAGCATATAATCTGCTTCATAGGACATTGTACATCTTTTGTTTTTACCATGTTATTATAGATACACTAATTAGTATTTATTATTTCCATTTTTAAATGTACGTACTACAATATACAGATCAGTGACCGTGTATGATGACGCTTTAAATCTTAATCACTACAGCTTTGGGAGGGGTGTTTATTATTCATGTGAAAAAACAAAATCAATGAAGGTTATCAAGTACGCGTTTAAACAAAATTATAATTACCTGTGGCCTCATTGTAGTACACATTGATCCTCTCCAACTGAAGGTCAGAATCTCCGTGGTATGTACCGGTGGGGTCAATTCCGTGTTCATCGGAAATAACTTCCCAGAACTGAAATTTAAATGCACAATTTAATTTGAAGCGCTGCAGTATAAAAAAAAAACCAATCTAGTCATAAACGGAGTTCTAGCTACTACATAAGAAAGTTATCAGGGGCGTAGTAGCCCTTGTTCAGACAAGATTCATTCTTGAGCGGGTCGAGGGCAGGGATTGGGGATTGGTAAGGGGGTAAAGGAACAAGGGGTGCTACCAGCAGTGTTTTTGTTTTGGGGGAGTCACCTGCGTACCAGCATATAGCCAGGTATACTCCATATCATGGATTTTATCTTCATCCTGGCATATTGGTTTTATTTTACAAATATATCCTTGTTGAAATTGACCGACTAAAAGCTGGCTGTATTGAAAAGGCAGCTCTACTTCTGCTCAGCTTAACTACCCCCCCCCCCCTCCAATGCCCACAACCTCTGGGCGATTCAAATTATTCGTGAGTGACCTAGATCCGATGCGCCACACCTGGCATGTGTGGCTTTTAAATATGGGGTCACAAAGGTAGGGGTTTATAGCATTGTAAATGTTGCACTCCCTCACAGCTATCCATTAATACATTCATTGATGGAGGACAGAACAATCATTATGAATATCACGATGTCAGATGTATCAACTATTATAACAAAATCTAACTTTTTTTTTTTATCTCTATTCTGTTGTTTTCAGTAGTATAGGCCTACTTGTTTTTCACAAAAAAAATGTTTTAAATAATATGAATATTTATATATAAATACCAGCAAGCATCGTTTATTTCAAAGCAGACAATTTCCTACAAGCATACAATGGCCCTGAGTTATCATCAGTAATGTGCTTGTAGAATCGATTTATTTCCCGGGTTCTCTGACAAAGGATGCCCCGAGCAGATGACTGCACACATTCATTCATACACTGACACATGTACACAAGTGTAACGTATAAAGGCGCGTAACCTCGCTCGATCTCACGAATCAAAACTTTCACCGGCTCAGACTCAGATGAAAGCTTTTGAAAAAGTAGTGCCTTTTAATTAAATGTATACAGTAAATCAAACAACGAAATCTCATTAAATATTTAAAACGTGAATTCACATAACTACTGTCGAGTGTTATAACGAGATAAGGAAGTTTAAAATTCAATAAGTTGCAGACGAAATATGCTCTACCACAGGAAGTTCTATGGAAGTTATCGTATGACCCGAATTTGAGGCGCCCACGGGAGAACGAAAAATTTCAAATACGACAATCCAAATACAAGAAGCTTTATTTCGAGTCGCATACACATCAACATGGAACATTAGCCATTCAGAGCTATTTTTGCCACAAACACAAGTATATAAAATAACAATAACATAATGTAATAGTATAAGGCCCAGTAGTAACGAGTTAATATAAATAGCATAGCAGACGATTTTTACATTACAGAAAAATACACGGCAACGTCACATTTAAGTTAGACAATCAATTGCACAATTTAATTATATCACAAGGCTCGGCTCTTATTTATATTATGTTTTTTTCAATATAAAATTCAGAGGTTTGACACATATTTATGAACGATGTGTTTCTACACCGAATGTTTAAACACTACCTGTAATCTATACAAGTGTATTTATTATACATACATGCTAATATATAGCAAAGGGTGAAAATTGACATGATATACATTATACATTAACATAGTGTGTATTAAAAAATAGCATTCAGTAACGTTCATGCCGTTGTACTCATATATGTATATATATATATATATATATATATATATCCAGGTGCATAACATGTAATTCCACTTAGAGACAGATACTAACTCTCCAAATTGCCGTCTAATGCTCCACACATGATCATCAACACACATGTATATTGTATATGCTGCTTCATACAAAGCTAACTATGTAGGCAATCATTTCGTTGCACCGGACAGGAAAACGAGATTATTCAAATTCCCCCATTTTCTCGGTCCTGTGATTCCACGTTTAGCAAACCGTCATTTTCTTTTTCAACATTATAATAATATATGTATACACAAAATTAAGATGCAAGCTGAAAGCGAATTGTCCTCACCTTGGCACCGATTTGGTTCCCACACTGCCCAGCTTGTAAATGTACTATTTCTCTCATGATGTTGACGTTGGTGCTACGAAATAAACAACCGTTCACGCGGGTACAATGGTCTACGCAATCTTTTCCTTAGGCGGGATGTATTTATACATCAACTATGAATGTTAACTCTTTCACGCTCATCCGCAGTAACGCTCGCATGTGATTGGCTGGCCTGGATAGGAGTCCTATTTTTCCTTAAATTTCTTCATATAAAGCATCAAACTCTACATACACTCTGTCACCAAAAATATATGACCATTTCTTCTACACATGTTGTTCTAGTTTCTGTAATTTTTACTTAAAAAAAAATGTTTTCCAGATAATTATTTTACATTTGTTGTCATGGTGTTGTATATAACTTACGTTACCGTGTCATGTTTGTATACTTAAAGATGAATCATGCTCTACTAGAGAAACAAATCAACCGACGTAAATACAATTAATTATTTACCTCTTTATACTGAGTGCATCGGGTGTGGCCCGACAGAGTTATGGTTCCTGAATCCATTAACGATGATGGATTTATCTTGTATGCAGACTTGGCCAAGCCCATATTACCAACTATAACTTAAGTACCCGTCGTTAATATAATTGTGCCGAATAACTAGTCAGATAGGGATGATTATGCATAAGACCTTCTGTGACTTATTGTTTTGGTCCTTTAAGAGGTAAGTGTATATATTGGAGTATCATAATTTTCAACGTCGCATCGGGGACGGACGCAGTTGTTCTAGATCTAGGGCCGATAGACCGTATATTTTGTATAGATACTATTAGTGTAGTTTAACTAACACTGTCGGGAAAGATGTCTGGAATTGGGTTTACATCATTTAGGTTTTTCTCTATTCAAATATTCTTAATACTTAACCGTTCCTATCTTTATAATGAGGGCTAATAATTATTTGCTTTTCCTATTGTCTGATTACAAATTACATATGTTAATATTTTAAGACGGGCTTTAATGATTATTAACATACCAGATGTCCTAGATCCAGGGGCGTAACAAACGGGTTTTCAATGTGTAAGCCCAATGATGAAGTGTGCTGCCGAAGGCAGGTATGGTCCCTCCCCCC